GTGGGGAGGGCTGAAATTTTCAGGTTATTTACAATCCATCAGTTTTTTTTTTGTATATATGCCTAGGTGCGTTCGAAATTCTGTAATGGAGAAAGCATTGCACATATTTTGTTGCAACTGTATTGATTACTCATATCAAGAGAAACAGGCAGCTTTTATAAGTTTATTTAACTAAATTGGCAAAGATTTTCACATTTTACTTTAAAAAAGTGTTCCGCTAACCTCAATAGCATCTTTTGTTCTCTTCGCAATTGAATTTTCTCTGCCGCGTTAATCACTTCCGCGGAAAAATTGAAAAAAACGCGGGACAGCCATTTTCAAATTTAGTGCCCCAGCTATAATCACCCCTCGTGAGGTGATTATATAAACATAGCATAGCTCAAGTTTCAACTGATTTGGTTTTGATAGAGGCCTAAGTCTTTTAGCAACAGAACTTGGAGCATGAATTAGGTTGGTTGAAATGGAAAATTAGAAATTTATCAGCCGATATATCTTTATTTTAAATGTCATTCGATCGCTGATCCAACCTACTTTCTCAACTGTTCCTTCCCCTTTTGTCATCGTTTACCTGGTCACGCTTCCAACTAAATGCATTTGAACGAGGCCTAGATCAATTTCACTGACAGACTTATATAAAAACTCTCTAAGCAACATTTAGAACACATTCCTTAGAAGCGTTTTTTTAAATATTTATACTTACCTAAATTGTTACCCAAAATTCGTCCGATGAAGTTCCGAACCATTACTTCTTCTAAAAACGTTAAAAGTCTGTGATCCAAAGAAATCCAACAAAATTTTGAGAGCCAGTTTTTGATTCTCACTACAATGTGTATTCAATGAAGTAGCTAAACAATGTACATAAATTTCACAAACATGCATGCTATGATAAGAGGGCATGATCTTCTTTCAACTTTTCTCAACAGGCCTCAATTATCGGCGACCTGACGCTCTTCGTGAACAGTGCTTGAGGAAAGTTGCACAGCTCCTGACTATCGTTATAATGTCGGCTGTTTGTCTCACAATAATTCGCTGGACTCTGAGTGAAAAGTACCTGTCGTATGTATGTGAAGACTTTTCACATATTTGAGATATCTCTGAACAGGTTTGGACGGGAGCTGAAAGAACTTGGAAGAGAAAATGAAGTTAAAGCTTCCCGTTAAATTTCCTGGAAAATTGATTTGAGAGGATAAAGCACTACTAGTTTTGAACTACTGTTTTTTAAGACCTCTTTGAACAGCTACAAATAGAACTAACAATAAGAGAGGGATAGTTTACCAGGACAATTCAAACTGAAAAACAAGTCTTCTTTAGCTTGTATCTTTTTTTCACGGAAAAATCACGAGATAAAATATTTGACCCAGTGTTTCTAGCTCGCGTTCAAGCACATTGAACCTGTGCTATTCATAGCTTTTTTTTCTCATTCTGTAGTGTGGTTCAACTAAGGAACAACGACGTTGAGTGTTTGGCTAACTTCTTTCCACAGGCGGAAAAAGGGTACATCATCACTTTCATCAAAAAACAAAACGACAGAGGAAACCAAAACGTTAAGCGACATCATTAACCGTATCAGAACCGTTGTACTTGTTTTTAAGGTCGAATTAGAAAAATCAGTTGACAAAGATCCATTAACTGAAATAAAAAAGGACTTTGTTTTTCGTTTCCCTGTTAATTAGCGCGGACCAGCTTCCCAAGCGAAATAAAATTGAAAGCATCTCCCCCTTAATCAACTTGTAGGCTCCAACCAACAAAGCAGTCAAAATATTTCATGTCTGCTCATTTGCAAACGTTGTAATAACTAGGTCGGGATCCACCAAGCAAATCTTTGCGTGAGGGAAGGGGAGGGGGGCGTTAAAGACGAGTGGATAAGCTTCAGGTAGGGGAATGGGGACATGCTTGGTCACGGTGTTTTAAAACTGTATTGACCAGCTTAAGCTCATTTAGAAAGGAATTCGATTGGTGATGAACAGTTTCCTCGACTGAGGACTTAAGAAACTAAGACGCAACGGTGCAGTTGTAATAATCTCAACGAAAGTAAACGTGAACTGCGAAATTACTTTAATTTTTTTCAAAGCAAATCAGCTTTCCGACAAAATATGTGGCCTATAATCTAGCGTTCCCGAAGGAATTTTCTCTAAATCTTCCCATAAGCCCTTTCGAACTTTTGCTCGTAGTAAGCGCGAACCAGAGTTAGCTATTGAAAGCAAAAGTCAAAGCGAAACCGTTGATTTTTTCGGAAACCACTGCATGAGAGCTAAAAGCGTGTGATGAATGTTTTTTGTCTTGAAAGGCAGGGATTGTTTTTCTGAGTAATACTCTACTCAACCTAGAAATGTTAGTTGAAGAGAATTCCACCTTGGTCGCAGACAAGATGTTGAAAGTCTACGTGATCTCTGACACGTGCAAACTCAGTGCTTGCTCAATTTCCCGACGTGGTGGACCGAAAAACAGTCTTGACTAAACTTGTGCTATTCCCAGAAGGCTTTATTATTTCATCAGCTATTCCAATACCTTGAAACTAATTTATATTCATACAGTCAGTTATTCTTTTATGTAATCTCGGATGAAAAACTACTAAAGCAAAATACGAGGGCTCAAAAATTGCAATTTTATTTTATGCTTTTGGACCCTCTTTACACTGATTCTATGCCGTTGTGTGATATATGTCACTGAAACGGTAACTCATACTTACACATGATTTACACGACGTCACTCCGTTAATGTATTCAGAACAGATGTAAATTTTCTGAGAAGTCATTTTCGCGCTTCTCCACTCGCGCGCAACTCGTATCTTTGCTTCCTCCCTTGAAAACAACAAATAAAGTCTAAACTATTCTATACAAGGCAAGTTCAGCTTTAAGGATAAATGGGATCTACTCGTCCTCGTTGATTGTGATGGATACTTTCTTAGGATCCAGGATCCAGTCACTCCTAACCAATATGCCATTCACCTCTTGAATTTTCTGTAAGACAGATACAATTTAACTTAGGGGATTAAACATCTCTACCTATGAGGCATTGCAAAATCAAGGCTAACAAATGAAAGTGGAAGCTAAACAAGTGTAATTGCTGTTGAAAGATTTCAATATTTTTTTCCCTTTGAGATCCTGCTGATTTACGCAGATAAACTTTGTGTTTTCTGGACAATACTTGTTTATAACATCAGTAGCGCGCGTGCTTGCCCTATGTAAGTCGTACTGAACTGCTATGCGTGAATAAGATGACGTGAGCAGTTTTTGTTCATTGTCGCTCTGTTATAAAAGAATTTGCTCATGCTTTTAGCTGTGCGTATATCGAGTTATGGATGCACTTGGGAAGTTTGGAGAGCACTCAAAAAGCTGGAGTTGCTCCCGGCTGCGCCTCGAGCTACTCTTACGCATTTTTCGTGCTCTCCAAACTTCCCAAGTGCATCCATAACTCGATATACGCCCGCTAAGCATGAACAAATTCTTAAATTTAGAAACATGCATCTTGTTTCAATCAGATGCACATTCACACACTTTAAAATATCATATATTGTACATCGATAATGAAAACTTACTTTGTGTCCTGGATTTAGCCATTTTGATAGGATACTCTTCTTCCTCCTGACTTCTACTAGATCTTGGATCTGCTCGTCTTCGTTGACTCTGATGGATGCACTTTTCTAAAATTCAGATGTAAATCACTTTAATTTAAGTAAGACTGGTGATAACCATGGATTTCTTATTAAAACAAGTGGTTTAATCTCTAACGCAAGCAAATCGACCACATTGACAAACTTTTTAGACTTTTGAGCCTTTTGAGAAATAACTTACACGCATGCACTTTAAAGTCACCTCTAAATTGAGCCAGCAAACACTTGACAGTTGCAGCACTACAAAGGCTTAAGGGAAGTGGTCAGCCAGTCCAAGGTGGCGCCCAAACCCTGAAATCTCACAGCATCCATAAAGAAGCGACACGAATGGTATGCATTCTCCTAACATCGAGTCAATACAGAGTATATCAACAGAGTAAACATACTTTGTGTCCTGGTGTCAGGAATCTTGCTTGGAGCCTCTCCTTTTCCTCGTCTGAAGCTTTCAGAGTCTCCTTTCCTGACAATGGTACCAGCGGTATTGCTTGGATCTGCTCCTCAACACAGATACAAATCAATTTAATGGGAAATTTAAAAAATGAAATGGATAAAGCTACGAGTAACGACAAAACTAGTACGGCCTGGGAATTGGAGTTGAAGCTCAATCAAATGCACAATGACGCATTTCAAAAGACAATGCAGTGTTTATCAACAATGAAAACATACTCTGTATGCTGGTTTTAGGAGTTCTGCTAGGACCGTCTCCTTTTTCCCGGCTTTTGCCTGCAGAGTCCTCTCATCAATAAGTGATGTCAGCGGTATCACTGAATCTTGGATCTCCTCGTTAGGGTTCACGTTCATATATTCCTCATACTGTAACAGTATCTCCTCTAGAGAGTTCTCAGCACTGGACAGCGTTGCATGACTGCACACCAATATGAACATTGAAAGAGCATAGCGTATCATCTGCATAAAACAGGTAAAAAAAAATATTGAAACTCTCCAAAACTACAAGAAAAGAAATAAGATTTCCTATTTTGTTTTGTTTGGTTTCTGGTGGTTTGTTTGTATTAGCGACAGTAGGTAATTGTCATTTTGCCTGAGCCGTTTTGGTCTGTAAAAGAGTATGTTCTGTGACCATTTTTGTTCTGGATATGTCATTACTAACTTCACTGTTAGTAATAGTAATTGAACTGAGTGGAGTACAATTTGGTATGACATCTTTTGAGTCTTTTGAAATCGCGTGATTTTAAAATCAAACAATCGTGCCACGCGAGTTTCATTTTAAATCACAAGTATGTTTTTAGCCCAAAATTACACGATACGAAATCCAATTGCTTATTTTTTACATCCATTTTGACTTTGCAAAATTCAGCCACTCTATTACTGGATATTTTAAAAATATTTCATTAATCCAGTGCCGAGGAAAATATCAATTTTTAATTGAATCATCGCGATTGAATATCTTCGATTGCTCGTTTGCAAAGCAACGTGTTGGGTTTTAATCATCATTCGGGACGATTATCGACCAAGGAAATTTAAGCTTAAACATACAAGTTTAGAGCTATGCCAGTGGTGCTGCATTTTGTCCAAAAACTTGAGGTGATTCCTCAAGAAAAAAAAGAGTTGTCGAACAATTGTTTTAACTTCTACATCAAATTTTAATTTTCCCTACTGTCAACAATACAATTCTTACAATGTTAGTTCAGAGAATTTACTGTTGGATCAACTAATTATCCCCAAATCGATATTTGTCTTTATTCTCATCACTTATCTGGTTGATATTGAATTAATATTGTCGGGAAAAATTCTCTCTTGGTCACCCTGGGAGCTAAAGGGTTAACCAATGTCTGTTTCGAAAAGCTCAATAATAATGATAGGTCGCCGTGTTAGCAATATTGAGGAATCAGCTTAACGATTAATAACAACTAATAATCAAAGATAAGTCAAAAGCGTTCGATTCGCGTCTTCTAGTCCTCTAGAAATTTAAAAACAGTCTTTTATCAGCTTTGAGAAGACTGGTGTTGGCAGTGTTTTCAGGATTTCTAAATTGCTTCTCTTTAAGTGATTCTCGTGACCAGTACATGGTCACAAATAAAAAGATGCCAAAAAGAACAGGGATGTTTGTCTTTCATCTTGTTCCTTAAAGGTCTTGATAACCAACTTTGCCTATTTCAATGTTTGGTATTTCGACTGCTCAGTTTTTATCCAGGTTAAACTGCTAATCACAATCTCTCCGACGATTTGACGATTCGAAACAATTCGATCAGTACAAAGTTAGTCGATGTAAAACTGAGATACAGCTTTATCATAGTAGTTTTCAGGATGCAGGAGTGGCTTTCTGCAATTAAGACATCAGAACAAAACAACTTACCCTTCCACTGAACGCTGTCGCTTCTACCTCTAGCAGTAGTAGATGCAAAACAGATTTGGCAGAAAGGAAAAAACAGCTTTGTACGCTGGAGAAACCTTGTGACTCCTTGTGACATCAACGTGACAGGCTGCACTTATCTTTCACTCATTTAACCGAATTCAAAGAAAAAGTGAATTTGGCGATTAGATTTCGCACTTAGTTTTGCATTTCCATGGCCTGAGCCAGACCCACGAGCAGTGAGAACGGGCAAAGGAGCGCCGGGTTCTGTGAAGGGGTAGCGAGTGTCTCTTTCCGTCTCTCCCCTTGAAGAGTCTTCCCCGCTATCACCCATACCTCGTTTACGCTTCTTTCTCACCCCTACCGACAGACAGTTTCTCGGGCAGACTTCTCTGATGAGGTTAGAGAAAGCAGTTTGACCCATAAATTTCGATACTGTGGTACCCACAATCAAGATCGACTAAATCATTTGCTTTTAAGCTCGATATAAAGGGTTAGTTGTTTCACAGAAGCAAAAAAATGCAAGTAAGACAGTATCTGAAGACCTCGGGCGAGGTTTAGAGCCATCTGCCGACATCGGAATTACGTAATAAAAAATAAAGTTTGTGTGAAACGTATGATTAGATTTATATGTTTCAGAGCGCTATTGATTGTGTTAAACAACAGTCGACCAACAGTTGCGATTCATATAACCGACCCAATTTCTCTTCTGACCGACCATCAAAGCGCGGTTAGGTTGTATTATTATGGATTCAACTCACTATCTCTTGCGATTGACCGAAAGCGTACAGTGAATTTTCGAAGTCAGCGCGTGGGACATCATCAAGTTTCAGATTATTCAATAATCCTGTCAAGGTAAGGGTTATCAGCCTCAGCCATCGGTTTCAGCTGATAACCCACACCTCGACCTTGATGATTCTGGATATCACTAAAACCTAATCCAGTTAATGTTTATTATCTGTTAGAACACTAGCTAAGACCGACCCAACGGAGAAAGGAAAAAAAAACAGACTTGATTTCTACCTGACTACTCGTGGCAATAAAGTTTTCCGTGTGCGCGTGCTTTTGTTATCTTTTATTTCAATGAAGTCGTTAAAATCGAGCAAATTGTTGAATGCACATGCATTTGCATTTTAACATTGACCAAACTTTGGATACTGGTGTTCACGAGAGGCCAGTCAACCAAATAAGCAACACAACAGAAGAGAACGTCACAACAGCAACAAAAATATTTTGGAAACATTTTATTATCTGGAACGAAAACACTGAGTTGCTGGAAACTGAAAAATACCAGGTCGCCGCAAACAGGCGAGTCTCTTTCCTGCCCTTGGAGACCAACTGGAAACGATCATGTTCCCCTCAAGCTGTTTGCAGGAATCAGTAGTGCGGTTAGTTCGCGGTTGAGCTGTAGAACGCACAAAATAAACGCGGTTGTAGAATGACGACACCAAATTCACCCCAAATAAATCTCCCGAATGTCTCAATCATATCCGGTACATCATTTGGTTTGAAAAATATTTTAAAGGTAAAGCTGGAAATAATCGTGACAAACTGTTATTTATTTCGATTTCAAAACTAGCCGATTACAATTTTCTATAACAAAAAATATCTATTTATTCATTTGTATTTGAAGCGTACCTTGGTAATGAAAATTACCTTGAGCGATCATTCAAATTGACGTTGAATTATTCATTAATTTAAAAGCTTGATCATTTGTTTCTGTGTAACATAATATTTCGATCAATATTACTCGTCTTTTCTCCAAGCTGCATAAACGCAACACCAAATTGATTTGCTTTTTCGGGGGCTGTTTTATCTCGATAAACATATTTAAAAACCATTGAATATAAATGTGCAGCGATTAAATTTTCTTTAGGCGGATTAGAACCAGAACTTGAAATTTTAGCGAACCCTGATATAAGAACTCCTTGTATAGAACATCACATGGAATTCACAGAAGCTCGATCACGCGGAGTTTGATCGCCACATAAGAAAGGTTGTGATCTTCCCAATCATTCTGTTTGAATTAATAAATATAATTGTTATTATTGAACAAAATGTTGTATATTGTCTTTTTGACGGCCGTAAAATCACTAGTTATTCATGGAATGGCTAACGGTGTCAACAGTGTCCGTATTTATGTAAATATTTGATCTGTCGGTGCTTTCGACGTGAATTCGATAAACACAGCCGTCGAAAATATTTCCATACCTAAAGTAAACGATCTTAGTTGGCAACTTGTTCCTACTTTACATTGCACTGATTCCCGAATCGAAGCTTTCTGTCGCTTCCGAATCGTTCAGAATGTCATCTCCCTCGACTCTCGTCATATTTTTAATCCTTTGCCGAAGAGCTATGAGCTGACGTGCAAGATTTTTGTCTTGTAACTGTAGTTCTTGAAGTTCCTTACGTACCCATGTTATAGCGTTCTGTAGGTCCACTTGTCTTTCGGCGATGGTTGCTCCCTCACGCTGTATTACAGGAACTTTACTGCCTTTTTCGCTGCCAACTTTCTCACTGTTCATCACGCTGTCATTTAAAAATTCCCTTGTTTCTGGCTCTTCGATAAAATTAACACGGCGTTGTTGTTCGAGTTTCGCATCGTCTGTTTCATTCAATCTGTTCATCTTGAAGAAGTTTAACACGCTCTGTTCTGGGTGAAAAGTAAAGTCCTTGGGATAGTGTCTTGGTGACCCGTCGAATGTTGCTCATCAAATCGTACTATTCCGTGTACGTTGTGAAATGTTCGCTATCGCCTCGGGTCAGTCTTTACTTCCTGCGAGAGTCACGAACTCTGAGTGATTAATGAGTTCGGTATGTTTTGATTTATTTCAAATGTAAATATTAAACCTCTGCGAGAGGTCTTTGTTATTTTCCGCCAATCAAATAGTCGGAATGTTGTTAGCGTGCGTATTTTAAATATCATAATGTTCATTATCAGGAAAAAGTTTAAAGTGCCATGCTCCATTCTTTCCTTAAATAGGATTTGCTAAACTGTTTACAAATAAGTGGAACGAAGAAAAATTAAATCATTGCGACCTTAGTCTACCTTGTCGCAGCCTTGTTGGTTAGCGGTCATTGTAGAAGAGCGTGCGCAGCAATCCCCCAAAATAAACATGGCGGACGGAGACGATCTTTACCTAAGTGGACTTGTGTGACTATTTCTAGTGTGTTAGCTTCCCTGGTCCAAGAAAAATGAAGTAATTTCTTTTGAAATGTATTTTCTTAAATCAGCTGACTTTATTTTTTAAATCAGCTGTCTTTTTGCATCATTTTTCTCAGGTTAAATATAGACGGTCTTCTTGTGTACTTTCCTTACGACTACATCTATCCTGAGCAGTATTCGTATATGATGGAATTGAAAAGAACTCTTGATGCTAAGGTACGTCATTTAAGATATTTTCGAGTTTATTTTCTAGAATACTGCGCTTGTAACCCCTATTATCATCGGTGAGGGTTTCACAGTTGAGTTACTTAACCAATTCGAACGTGCGGTTTTCGGTTCGAAGAATGCATATAGTGGTGTGTCGTGCAGCACGTGTTCATGTTTGAGGACTGAGACCAAGGTTTGAACACTTACCCACAGGAGAAATGCCGAAGCCATTACCTGTCGCTTGCACATTGCCATTGCAAAAACAGCTGGGTGATGACCAAATGGAGCAAAACGGGATGAGGCTCAAACTATACCAGCTGATCTGGAAGAGATCACCAGGCTACAATTGCATTGCTGGGGTTTTGTTTTCAACATAGCCATTGTTAACAGGCACAGCCATTCTGTCATGAGAGAGATGGATTTTGACAGTTTTGAGATTGCTTCCTTTACTGTGAATGTATTAATGATACTCTGTAAGCTTAAGGAAGCTATAGTTATTGTAGCTTAGCATGTCTTCCTAATTTTATGTCAATTATTTTCAGGGTCACTGCCTTTTGGAAATGCCTTCTGGAACTGGGAAAACTATCTCATTGCTGTCCCTGATAGTTGCCTATATTTTGGTACATGTAATATTCTGGATTATTCTGTAATTACAATGTTTCTGGTCTGTTTGGACTTATTGCTCTCTGAATACTTAAGTTTTCACACTTTAAGATTTTAAAAATAGTAGAATAGGTCTCACATTTATCCAATCCTTTTCCACAGTCCAAACCATTTGAGCTGTCGAAACTGATCTATTGCTCTCGTACTGTTCCAGAATTAGAAAAAGTAAGTGAACATGTCAATTAATTTCTAGCAGGAATTTGCTAGATCCTATACAACATGTTTGCCAAACTGGTGTTCATTCCCATGTTAAGTGTTATTTCCTGGGTTATGACAGCCTTGAGAGTCAGGTGTCTTGTGCAACCACAGAGCTGCTAATACATGTAAGTTTGAAAGTAAGGGCAGATGAGAAAAGTCGGTGGCAAGGTTATCAGGAACACTGTGTTGTTTTGTCAGATTAGACACAAGACTGGATCCTCGGCATTTGAAGAGAATTGCACTAATCTTGAACCAAATTCTAAATGTGGAATCAATTCTCACATTTAAACCTACTATAACTGGCAAACTGTGCATTTAATTCCACCCAGAACTGGATGCATGTAGGAGGTATTGTTTGTAAAACTCATTAGGCTATATAGGGTATATGACAATTAAATAAAGATGTAGTGTTTAACTACAGGTTTTGGAAGAGTTGAAGGTTCTTTTGGAGTATTACGAAAAGGAAACAGGAAGAAAACCAAAACTGTTAGGGCTGGGACTCAGCTCAAGAAAGAATCTTTGCATTCATCCTGAGGCAAGTGCTACCTATTGTAGATGCATGGTTTTGTATTCTGTCAACTCTTTAATCCCAAGATCTGATTGTTAATTCTCCCCTTTAGCTATCACACATTTCTTTGTAAATTAGTTATGAGAATTTGGCATTAGATCAAGATAACAACTTTAACCTGACAAGTTTGAGTATTCTCATTACCTCTTTGCATGGATATTATAGGGAAAAGAACTCCCATGAGTGACCAAGACAGAATTTCTCCTTACAATATAAATACAATATCATCCAGATAAGTAATGAGAATAAAGAAAAATATAAATTTGGGGATGATTAGTTGATCCAATATTAAATTCTCTGAACTAACATTATAAGAATTGTATGTCTGACAGTAAGGAGAATTACAAATTTGATCTGGGAGTTGAAGGTTTAAAGGGTTAATTCCATTTTTGTTTTTAATGGGGTGAAGCACTTGTTTTCTGAGCCAAAACAAAGCCTACTGCAATAGGGAACCCCTAAAGAAAGAACCTTGATTTTGTAAGAGAGTGTACCTCGTGCACTAATTTTTCAGTCCCTTGGTAGTAGTGTCATTAAATCAATATGTAATTGTGACAGTGTGTATCATAAATACTTTTCCTTTTGACAGGTGAGTGCAGGAAGAGAAGGGAAGAAAGTGGATGGGAAATGTTTGAGTTTGACTGCATCATATATACGTCTAAGACACAAAGAGGACAAAACTGTTCCTGTTTGTGCATATTATGAGGTAATGATCTTGTGGTGTAAATGTTTATATTGTACTGATAAATTGAAAAATCATGATGACACAGAAGTACAGTGCTTCTTTATTTTCCTTCCTTGGAGAGATTAAGGCCACAGTATAAAGCATCCTTGGACATCTGAAGGAAAATTTAAGAGGCTGTTTACATCATATGCTGACATCTAACAGTTACATGTACATGTAACAGTGACAGGGTTAGGAATAACCAGCCATTTTGGAGTCTGTGAACTGGATTTGGTGTTAACTTGTGAAATTGTACTGTGCAGAGAAACCCAAGTAATCTTAAAGACCCCAAACAGTTATTAATTAACTTGACTATTAACAGTTGCCTTGAATTTCATTTTAGGATTTTGATGCTCATGGTAAAGAGGAAAAAATTCCTCCTGGAGTGTATAATTTGGTAAGGGCTGTATCTACCAAATTAAGTGCATAAGTTTCTTATCTTTGACCTTCATACAGAGCAATGACTTGTTGAAATACTCTACAACTCACTGTGAGTTTCAATTTTGACTATTGAAAAAAATATGCATGTTTTAGTTTTGAAATTCAATGTAATATGTGATCTTGGGGTTGTGAATCCTTCTATGATACAAGGCAAGATGGTATAGAATAATATGATAACTCTTGTTAAATTTGTTTTAGTTGATAATGCTTGCTTCATTTAGTTTGGTTTGTAATCTTGGCTTAAGGGTGACCTGAAAGAATTTGGCAGGAAAAAAGGATGGTGTCCATATTTTTTGGCAAGATATACAGTAAGTGCACTGTTACTGAACTACAATCTAACTAAAATTATCTCGCAGGTTTTCTGTGTACACTTAGCTGCAACACTAAATTGGTGAATATGAATATTATGTTAGGAAGAAGTTAGTATAGAACCATCTGGAACTTAAGAATTGATGATATTCCATTTGATGGATTTTTTTAGATATATCATGCAAACATAGTTGTGTACAGCTATCATTACTTGCTGGATCCTAAAATTGCTGAACTAGTTTCAAAAGAACTGGAAAAAACATCAGTTGTTGTCTTTGACGAGGCTCATAATATTGGTAAGGAACTTAATAATTCTTACAAACAGTATTTGTAGACTCCTTTACAGCACAGTAATGGAAGTTAAGGGCTTCTTAATCAAATTTCATATTGATTTTATAAGTACAGCTGTCATTGGGTTGCTCTGGAGACACTTGATCATCAGAGGAGCAAAACTGATGGGCCATGTTAGAAGTTTTATTGCTAGCAGTGTGAAATAAATTAAATGTTTTAAATGATTGCTATAAATTCTTATCAATTGCATATAATTAGTTATGATAGTGGTGGTTAGGATATAGAGGAAATTTGGTGAAATTATATTTTGTTGTGAGAAGATGCTCAGTTATAAGACCTACCCTAAGTTCAATATAGTTTAAAGTGCACAGAGAGGCTTTAACTTAAAAATTGGTACACCTCATGTAACCAGAAAACTACAGTATTTCTTTTTCAAATAAAATCAATGACAATATTTTTTGATTTGCAGATAATGTATGCATTGAATCCCTGAGTGTGACAATTTCAAGAAGAACACTTGATAGAAGTCATGCTAATGTTGAAAACTTGGCTAGAACTGTTAAAAAGTGAGTATTTTTCAGTTTTCCTTACTCCTCCCTTGAAAGTATGGTTTTGGTTTGAATTCCCTATCCACCCCTCTCAAGTGCTACTTATCTAGAATCCCACAATTTGTACACTGCATATTGTAAATGTCAAACTTTTCTACAGTTTTTTCTGTCGTAATATGCTAAGCTTGATTTTCATTTTTGAACTTGCTTAGCCCTCCTCTTTTTTCGATCAAAGAGAATTTTATGTGGTAAATATAAGCTTCATGCTTTTTTTTCAAATTTGTTAGAGGGGTGCTTATTTTGGTGTTCAGAAGCATCAGCAGCAAATGTTTTAACTAAGAACTTGTTTCTGTCGTACTGACTTCTTCAGTGAGAAACAACAGTATTGATCTGAAATGAATTTCAATCTTTGCTTTACTTTGTATTTATCTGAAAGGATTTTTTTAACTTGGAAAGCAAACAATAAATGAAAGTAGGGTAGTACTTGCTAGTAGAAAAGGTGCTGATACCCTTGATGTACTCAAACAATTTTTTCTTGTAGGCTATTTTACTTATAGCTATTTATCAAAAAAATCTCTGGAAAACACTTTTATTGTGAGAAGGCATTAATTGAAGGATTCTATGGCACATATTTGTAAATCTGACATCCACATGAGGTCATTTGCAATTGTATTCTTCTTAAGTCTGAAACAGAAGGATGCCAATCAACTGAGGGAGGAATACAGCCGACTTGTTCAAGGTACAGCGGGGGGTGGGGGGGTGGGAGGGGGTGGGGCATAAACTTATTACTCTAGCATGACCTTTTGTGTGGGAAAATCCTGTCACAGTCATCCATCCATTTTTTAATATGAATAAATTCCATTTAACTAAGAGATGAAAATGTTGCCGTAGAAGATATTCCCCAGGTGAGGTCAAATGCCAAAATGGTTAAGGACCAAAAGATTACTGAAAGTGTGCTTCCTCCTGTTAGTTTACAAACAGCCAAAGTACAGCAGATAGTTTATGGACAGAAGATGTGATTATGATGTTTGTTAACTTTTGTGATGGACACAGGTTTACGGGATGCAAGTGTTGCTAGGGAAACTGATGTGGTGCTGGCTAATCCAGGTACAGGCATACAAGAAATTTTTTTTAACTTCATTAACTGCACTCTCTCGACCACTTGGTTTTGGTTTAACATGTTGAAGCAATGAGATTAAAAACATATAAATCTCTGGTTTATATTCCATTATAGTTACTAATTATAACTGTGGTAAAATCGAGGCAGTCATTGTTAACTTTAATTCAATTCCTTTTTTCTCTTTTTGTAGTTTTACCTGATGAAGTCTTGGAAGGTGATTTCAGCACTTGCATACCTTAGTTCTCCCTTTCTTTAATTGATTGAACTTTTTATTAATTAAGCATATCTTTAAATTGAATATTTTATTGTTTATGTTATGGAGATCTTAAGAGTCATTTGATATTTCTTTTTACCTAATGCCCTTCAGGGGAAAGAAATTATTTTGGGGACAATTTTTCCTTCAACACAGGGCTGTCATTTTCCTTAATTGCATACACCAGTACCTAACCCTTTAACTCCCAAGATCTCACTGATAATTCTCCTTACTGTCTGCCATACAGTTCATGTGATGTTAGTTTGGAGAATTTGGTATTGGATAACTTATAATCTCTTACTTGGAATTTTTCTTTATTCTCATTTCTTGTCTGCTTGATATTGTACTGATATTGTAAGGAGAAATTCTTTCTTGGTCACTCATGGGAATTAAAGGGTTAAAAGAGGCATATATGTTTTCTTCTTTTCCAACACAATTCTCATCATGGATCCAGCTTCAAAACAAGTGGAAAACTCGTTTACAGACCAAAGACTAAATCACAACAAAGTCAAGTGTACATGTTCAGTGTACAGAATTTTTTTGAGGATGATTTTTTTGCTTTGACTGACATCTTTTTGTCATGATACTATTGTGTGATCAAACTCCATTGCAATAAATTTCAATTGAATTAGATGAGCTAAAACATTCTTCACTTGTTTGAAAAATATTGACAATGTGATACATTTATCCATTAATATCCCAGGGAAATTATCAACAACATTTCTCTTTTTTTTTTTCTTACAGAGGCAGTACCTGGAAATATTAGACAAGCTGAACATTTTGTAAATTTTATGAGACGGTTTATTGAGTATTTAAAGGTTTGTTCTACTTTGCCCCTACCAAAGATCTTCAGGTTAATTAGTTTTTTGCTGTTGATGTACCTCACATAAAGATATTTAAACAAGAACAAACAGATGCTTTAACTTCTTACATGTACCTCAAGACATTGTCCTCATCAGCTGTTGACCTATCAAAAGAAACTAAAAATTTGTTAAATGTTGTGATGAATTGTGCTGTGACCATCATATGAATATACCAGGCAGGGGTAAAGAAGATAAGACAGGGGGACAAAATTTTGGATTTTGTGAGTCATTTTATACATACAATGTTATGAAGTAAAAGATGCTCAATTTTCTTGAATAAACCTAAAAAAAATGTGGCTAAATGTAATGTCAAGCAAGATTGTTGCAGAATTAAATAATGTCTGTGTTGATTTGAGGTTAAATATTGGTGTCATGCTCAGAAGTTCACCATTTGTATTTTTTGTTTGTTTCCTATCACAGTGGCATGTTTTTCTATTATTTTTTCAGACAAGGTTAAGGACACAGCATGTTGTGCAACAAAGCCCTCCATCTTTTCTGCAGCATATTTTCCAACAAGTTTGTATTGAAAGAAAACCTCTCAGGTATTTTCAAGTAACCAATCACTTGGCTGATTGGTTGATCAGTCATTTGATTGGTTAGTCAGCCAGTCAATCAATCAATCAATTGATGCAATTGATTCTGTAGATAAATTTACCCTTTACACCCTAATATCAGTATGCACATTCTCCATACTGTTCTCTATACATTTTCTAAGATGCTGATCAGGAGAATTTGTTTAATGACCAAGAGCTCGTTTAGTTGGTGATCATTCCTTTATTCTCAGGACCTTATTGTGTGATTTGGGGTTGACAGGTTAAGGAGAAATTAGATGCCAGTGACTCTTAGGAGTCAAAGGGTTAAATTATTATTAGTGAACAACCTTGATATTTTATTTTTGAAGATTCTGTGCAGAGCGGTTGAGTTCTCTGTTATACACACTGGAACTCCCTGATGTTCAAGACTATGGTCCTCTAACACTGATTGCCAACTTTGCTACCTTAGTCAGTACCTACAGCAAAGGTACAGCTCACTTATCTTACTTGTATCATCATGTTATTATTCAAAGTTACACTGTCTTAAAATTCATACAGAATATGAAAGAAAACCTCAATTTGAAGCTGAGACTGTGCTGATAAAAGTTGTTAATTACTTTTCAAATAGTTCATCTTAAAGTTAAAGCTTCTGCGGAATCCATGAACTTAGCCCATAGTTGGCTGTAATCTCTTTGCAGAACATGTGCATGGCTAACTCTATACTGTGATGAACCATCATATTGATGTTGAAAACAATTCTGTTATTCATATTTTTTGTCTTGGGCTATTCTGTGATTTGGTTCCCTTTGTTTGCTTTTAAATTCAGTCCTTCATGTTTAAATCATCACAGAATGCCATACTCGTGCCTCATAAACCTAGTTCAATGGACTTGATTGCCAACAAATGTCTCTGTGTATACCTCTCTATTAGGTTGTCCAAACTGTAGCTATTGGGAGTAAGGGCTTCACAAGAGTGTTACTGATGGAGCTTTATGTTTGATTTGTTTGTACAGGATTCACATTGATCATTGAACCATTTGATGATCGTACACCAACCATACCAAATCCAATCCTACATTTCAGGCAAGTGATTCTCCAGTTTTCCACTATTATGATCTGTTCTTTTAACTACAGCAATGCTTGATTCTATTCAGGCAATTTTCTGGTTTTCTTTTACAGTAAATTTTCAAACTGAGTCGGGAACAATCTTTATTTCACTTCAAGTTCATGAATACATTTTTGATCCCAGTCTTTCCTCTTCTTTCCATCTTAGTTGTATGGATGCTTCCATTGCTATCAAACCTGTGTTTGACAGATTTCAGTCTGTTGTCATCACATCAGGGGTATGATATCATTCAATTTTCCTTTGATTAACAAGTTATTTGCCTGTTGTTAGACACTGATTCAAGACCTGAGAAATGAGAGAAGTGCAATTTTTAAATGAAATTTCAATTGTAAAATACAGATATCATAGCTTAGTTTGTAAAACTCAGTTTGTAATTATTGTAGTGTTCTTTATTAGTGGCATTCAGACTGGTCTGAGTGACCATACCATGATAAAGGAGGTGTGTAATCTCATATTATGAACAAATCAGTGCTTTTCTTCCTGAATTGTTTTTATCTTCTCTTGACACCCCAGACTTTGTCACCAATAGACATGTATCCCAAGATTCTTGACTTCAGGCCGGTGACCATGGCAACATTCACAATGACTCTAGCTAGAATTTGTCTGTGCCCCATGGTGAGTGAACATACTTTAAGTTGAAGATGTTCAGAAATAGAAAGGATGCCTTTTCCAGAACTTCTGGATTGACTAAAGAAACAATTATTAATCTTTGGTCACTCCAAATCCAACTGGCATTTACATGCACAGTTAATAAGTTTCTTCACTTTCACTTTAGTTCTTAATTCCTAGAGATGAAAGTATAAGAAATGTATGGCTGACAGTGTGGAGAATTGATATTTGGGTCATGAGAGTGAATGGTTGAAGAGAGGTTCAACTGAAATCTTTTGTTGATGTTTTTTATTTGCAGATTGTTGGCAGGGGAAACGATCAAGTAGCCATGACGACTAAGTTTGAAACAAGAGATGATATGTGTAGGTTTTTTTAAAGTTAAATCGTATGTTTTCACGTTCTCCTGTGAAGCTTAGAGCACAAATTGAAAGCGATGATACATAACGTTTTCCTTTTGATTCTCCGGTAGCTGTCATTCGTAACTATGGCAACCTCTTAGCTGAGATGTCAGCCGTGGTACCCGATGGGATTGTTTGCTTTTTCGTCAGTTATCAGTACATGGTAAGATTGCGTTTTCTCTTCAAGCAGGAAAATTATTCGTTCATTGCTTTTGCTCGCTTAAGAATATAAACAGATAAGACGTTAGGAGCTGTAGGAGGATTATGATGAAGTTTCGCCCAACGATGCAATTTTGTTTTGCCTCTTTATTTTTTTCTTGTTTAGAGTGACTACTGCTTATTCAAATAATTGTTCTTTTGCATGAAACAGTTCGTGTCATGAGCACTCGAACTCATATTAAGCGTGAAGCTTAAGGTTTCCTTTCATACAAAATATACATATAGGCCAGTTTTTTTTTTCATTTTTCTATCATTCTTTATTTAATCGACATCTGCATTTTTTTTTTGTTCCGTGCAGGAAGCAGTTGTGTCCATTTGGAATGACCAAGTAAGAAATTTGAGTATGATTTGATTTCCAGTCTTTGAAGGATAAACATAGCATCTGTATACATATGGATAATAACTTCACGAATTTTTGTTTTGTTTTTAGGGTATCATCAGCAACATTCAGAGAAATAAGCTGCTTTTCATTGAAACTCAAGATGCGGCAGAAACCAGTTTAGCTCTTCATAATTACCAGCGGGTGAGTTTCGTAGAATTTAGTCAAGGACAAAATTTTCATTGTGCCTTCATGCTTCATGTTTTCCTCTCTCGTTTTTTCAGGCTTGTGAAAATGGAAGAGGAGCCATATTGCTCTCTGTGGCCAGAGGAAAAGTTTCAGAGGGAATTGATTTTGGTAATCAAGTGTAGAATTGGAGCGGTTTTCAATCGGGTGTCGAAATAGTCGGAATAAAATCTGAATTTGCATTTTCTTGTTAACTTCTCTCCTTAAGTAGTCCACGAAACTCAAGTCACCGCCATTCAGCCATGTTTCTGTCATCTCTCAGAGTTCTCACTGTTCTCTTTGAGATATTTTTCATCGTTGTGACTGGCTTTTGTGACGACTTCGTTTTGGTTTTATGACACTCAATCGAAAAGAGCTCTAATTAACAAATAGACCATGTATAGAACTGCAGTTGTAATTTTAAAAGCACTTTGCATCTCTCATACTCAAAGAAGGTTGTCGCAACCATTGTCAGCAGCCATCTCCAGGTCGCTTGTTTGGTCTCTTGTTAATAGCTTGGTTAACGGGACTTTAGTTCAATTCTTTGTTTCGTTTATTTCTGTGATATGTGTTCGAGAAATTTTAAATTGAATGTCGAAGGTAAACCTGGATTGCATTGGTTTGCTTTGCCACGCTCTATGATTGGTCCAGAAAACTCACGCCACTCTCTCAACCAATCAGATGTAAAGCAAAACCAACCGCGTCCCGGCCATTCGTTTTTTCCCGCGCATTTTTTTCTTGGTAGTACTTATTTTCTCCTTGTGAGGTTAGCCTGTGTCCTAATTACCTGTTGGGATTATTTTGTTTATGGTTCTTACGCACTTAATCCGAGAGCGCTTGAAAGCTAAGGCTCTCATACTTGCTGAATTCTTTTTCTTTTCACAGACCATCACTATGGCAGGGCCGTTATTATGTTTGGAATTCCATATGTTTACACTCAAAGTAGAATCCTAAAGGTCAGTGACAGGAACTTGTCGCATTTTAAAATTTTCGTTCTCCATTTTTACTTCCAAGCTAAACAGATCACATTATTAAACTATGAATTTTGGACTCAAATAATGGTGTTATATTTGATATGATCCACTAGTGTCTAAGTTACAGTGAAACAGCCATATCTTAATTCATTCGGCTCGGCTCCTTTAATATGATATGTATTTGTTAATAGGCGCGCCTTGAGTACCTCAGAGACCAGTTCAACATCAGAGAAAATGATTTCCTTACTTTCGATGCAATGAGACATGCTGCTCAGGTAGGAATCAAACAAAAAATAATTATCGCCTTCTACGACATATTCAGGTACCATTTAACTTCGAGAAAGTCAAGCAATAAAAATCGCCAACGTTCCAGGCACGGTAGAGACGGTTGTCAGCGAAACGGCTGCTGACCGCCTGCCGTTCTCTGCGTCCCCGTATTAACGAACCGAGATCCTGGAACGAGCTAAATTGCATGTGCAGTAGATTACTGCAATTATCCTGATCCATGAAAATCGAACGCTTGACTCATTTGCAAGACTTCAGCGATAAGTTTTTCTTATGGTTATACAAAGATCAGTTCAATCACCTCTATGCGGTAAATAATAATTTGATTTTGATAGAAAGATTCTGTCTTTAATTTTGGTTTGTAGAGGGTGGAATTGATGTATCGCATTAAACTGTTGTATTTCTTTGTTACTTTGGTACACTTATCTTTCATTTGCTTCTCTGATCTCTCAGTGTGTTGGCCGAGCCATCAGAGGAAAAACAGACTACGGCATCATGGTGTTTGCTGACAAGGTATGGGCTAGAAGCTAATTTTTAAACTTCACGTGCCTTTTCCTCTAAGGTTTCCAGTCCTCTTCTCTGCATGAAAGGTACCATGTTACTCTCTGTTTCTCTGACAATGTGGCTGAAAATTATTATTATTACTATTATTATTATTACTATTATTATTATTATTATTATTATTATTATTATTATAGTTATCATTATGTACCATTCATTTTTTGCAGAGATTTTTCAAAGTTGACAAAAGGGGAAAACTTCCCAAATGGATTCAGGTAAATTAAAGAAGAAACTTCATGAAATAGGGTTTAGATGTTACGACAGAATTGGTCAACAATCCTTTTGAAATTTATTCTTGCATTAAATGCTGTCTGAAGCAATTAAGAAGTGTCGAAAATAAACCATGATTGCTTCTGTTTTGCTCGCGCCATTTTTCATGGGACAAAGGTAAAAATCTTAACCACCCCCCCCCCCCCCAAGTAAAAATCTTAACGTTCCCCCGTCCCTCCTCACTAGAATCGGAGCCCGAATCCAGGTCAAAGCTTTTTGAATACTTCAAGGCTAATTCCCTTTGACTGTATTGCAGGAGTACTTGAAGGAAGGAGTGTGCAATGTGTCTATCGATGAAGCAGTCCAGGTAGGGATGTGTACTGTTTGAAATATTTTAACAACCTTAATTTTTGTGTAGGCGTGTTTTTTTAAGGCGAGCGGAGGCGACCACGAAGGTCCTTGATCAATAAATTAGGTCGCCCTATGTGCAGAGAACTGAAGTTATTATTTCTTTTTACTAGATCAGTAAGAGATTCTTGAGGCAGATGGCGCAACCGTTCGATCAGGTAATGTGGGAGTTTACAAAGGACGACGGCGACACCGTAAACAACGTAGATTAAACATTGAACTTATATGTTACCTACGAATCTCGCGATACTCTAAATTCATTTAGTTTGTTTCTCATTGTCAAAACTATCTCGAAACTGAATAGGGAACACAGCGTTAAATTAGAAATAGAAATTAAATAAATCAGCCGTCGTAGTTCACGATCTCCTGGCAACGTAGAGTTTGGTCATTTCACGTCGTTGTTTTGCGGAGGGCGCCAAGAAATTTACATTAAATTTGCTGTTGCCGTCGTGGTTTTCTTAAACTCCCTATCGTCTTTTCCTAAAACCTAGAACGTATGGCGCTCGATGCAGCTAGTGAGCTATATCTTTTCACGGTTCTCTTACGAAAAGCATTCCTGTGCGAAAACTTAAATATTTGAATGTGATGAGTAATAATCCAATCTTTTTCGATTATTCAAAGTTATTATTCAATAATTAGTGCAGCTTTCTTAAGAGTTTGATAGAAACGAGTAAGGCTTTTATAAAAGGCGGGAGCCCCATCGAAGGTTATTTCTTATACGAACCACAAAGGAAGGGACAATTGCACTAAATAGGAGAAGACAAAGTCGAGTTTTTCTGCGTTTCGTGCACGCTATTGGCGCTTCCCAAAGACAGAGCAAGGTCAAGACTTCTTTGTATGTAACCTACGCTAATGTGCAATTGTGCTGTTGCGAAGACTTGTTCGTCCCCCATAGTTGATTGACTGTTTCTTTTCCCTTCAATCACAGGAGGATCAGCTTGGCCTCTCGCTTCTCACTGTTGAGCAAGTGGAGTCTGAGGAGTTCCAGAAAAGAATACTTCAATCAGCCGTTGCATGATTGGTTAAGAAAGTAGACCTACTTAAAGCTTAAGGCTGGTGTTTAAACGTAGACCATCACATTACTTCGTAGGTAGATCACGGTAGAGATATTTTCGCGAAATGAGGTAGCACCAGAAAAAGATTACAGAGGGGATACTTAAAGATCTAAGGTTTGTCTGTTGCAATTCGACAGGGCCTAAAAAAACTCCCCAGGAAGTTAACACCATTTATAATTTTTCAAATTAAACAGGAAATTTGAAGTTTTCTTTCTGCTGGCCTTGTATTTGGAATTAAGCAGCCAACAGTGAGCAAACGTCTTCCAACAAGACATGTATTGTGTTAACTTACATGGTTGCGTTTATACTTTTTCCAGTAGCCATTTTTTGTTTTTGTCTTTTGGCCCTCTATAGAAAAGGTGGCAATTCATTCCGTTTGTAGTTTAAGTTTGTGTTAGAATCGTCAAACCTCGTTTTGTTGTTAGTATGGCTCTAATCGTATGTACATATTTATGGATTCGTCTTTGGTCTGATATCGAAATATGGATCATTATGTAACTTTGATATGTAAAGAAAATAAAAGTATTTTGTTTTAACCACATTATGATGACGTCTGTGATCTTTTACTAAGCAGACACGGCAGTACGGAGTCTTTTTGATAGATAAACTATGTAAATAAAGAAATTCCGTGTCTCTGAACAACCTCACTTTCAAAAGGAGGCCAATTGCTGAACGTTTCTTGTGAAAATGAGGTTTGTCTCTTTGATAAAAGAAAAATAAAATAATTTTCATATCAAAGCTTTGTACTTGGCCTCGTTTTAAAATAGAGGCTTAGATTATCGTGAGAGTGGCTTTTTCTGCCGTCTCTTTATTAGATTCATATCATTTCATTTGTCTGGCACCTTCTCTTCTCATGTGGGCGAAAAGACCATTGCAACCATTGTATTTATCGGAGACAAACCTATGACAGATCATCTCAAGTCCTGAGTAGATTTCATCTGTATTGTTTTGCCAATTAATCGCTGAAAATTATATATTGCTGCAAGCACTTTGGATCTCTAGTAATTTTGATTTTTAATGATCGTGGTTAATTTCCCAGGGAGGGGGGGAGATTCTCGAGTTACACCAGTTTTTCTTTCAAAAACATTCTTGCATAGTACGTTAATTTCTTGCTGGAAAATAATTCCCTCTTTCTCTCCGTATGAAGTTGATTTTCTCAAACGCAAGGTAGGAAGGGTTTTGCATGGATTATTTTTCCTCTGCGCCTTTTATTATCCTTGAATTATAATTATAATATATATAATCCGCCCACAGTTTTTTGGTGCGTGCCATACACCGTGACTCGGGCAACCTTGCTTTCCTCGTTGAGGTTGCGTGTTTACCCTGTAAACACTTGACAACCACGCAACTTCGACAAACACGTGGCAAACTCCAGATTACGGTTTTTATGCGACATTTAGCTATCAAATAATTTATTTTTAGCCACAAATTTACTTGCTCGTTTTCAAGGACTTTCAACTGCTTTCTAAGGGTGTAAATAACATCCTATTTCCGCATACGACCATTCCGCGTCACGAAAGTACTAGAGAGAGTTTCTCGAATTTATTTCATCAGCTTGATCTGTGATTGGCTACTGAGCGACTGCGTCCCGTTGTCAGTCGGCTCGATTGAGGACAGCTCGAGGCGTCTGCGAGGTCGATGAACGAACGCAATCGTCGCTCTAATTTGTATTTTGGCGCTCTAGAGGGTGAATTTAACGATGTCAGACTCTGGCAACTTTCATGATCAAGAAGAAGAATCTGAAACAGCGGTAAGAATAATTCCTATCAAGACTGTCGTGCTTAAGTTCTCAAATATGAATTGAATAACAGACTTTCAAAATTTCAAGTGTTTTTATAAAGGGATACTGTCAATGTTATTATTTCAGGTTAATACGGCTAAGCGAAGAGGGAGAGGAAGGAAGAGAACTCCTTCAAAATTTACTTCAAAGGTATCCTTAGACACGATCTTTTGGTTTCTCTAGTAGTTTCCGTTGTAGCGCATTGTATTGCATATTTGTTTACAATAGTGGCTGCGACTTGGTCGCGGTGGAGTTAGTTTGTCCGCGGATTTCCTTTTGAACGCGCACTGACCTAACAAGCTCTCTGTAATTCGCTCGGTATCAGTGGCAAAAGTTCTTTGATTTTCAATTTCAGGTGACAGTCGAACAAATAGACACCTAAAATTTCTATTAGAGGAAAACTGATGACAAGCCACATCCTGGTCAAAATAAATAGGTTTAGTTGTGACATGTAGAAAGTTCGTCCCATCAGAGCTATAGATAAAAGAGATAATATAAGTAGTTTATTTGTAATAACTTTGCTATTAATCATTTGAATGACACGATTATTACAAAGGATAATATCAATAATAACAATAAAAAGAACTATTAGTGGTTTAAAGCAAGTTTGTTTTAAAAATTTGTCTGTCATCTGTTACGTTTGTAAATGAAATATGTCGATTACTGACAAGAGTAGGTTTCGCCATACAAGGTGTTCACTGATTAAAAATACTGGAATCGCAGTGCATGCATGAGTTAGATGTACATATTTTACCAAATGTTTTACCAAGTCTTCCCTCCGGTCCACTAGCTAACCTAAACCTTCCCCACGTGAAGAAAGAGCCAAAAAGAGTTTGTAGGTTTGGCTAGTGGAGGCACAACCCTTTTTCTCTGAAGTGCCCATGTGCACACCACAATCATAGCATTTTGCTTAGCCACTGTAAAACGAAGAGCCACTTCTGGATTTAACAACATGGCAAATTTACCCCTCATGAATGGCTTTTTCCTTCAAGCAACTGTGCAGAAATTAAGTTTAACTTCAGGCCTAAATAATAAACTTTGCACAAAAAGATTTTTAATAGCCAGAATATTTCATGACTGCTAGGTTTTAAATTAAATTTAAAATTTTTCTTCTTATATTATCCCTGCTACAGTATGCGTGAAGATAACATTTTTATACTTATAATTTCATGATGTATTGTCCATATATATCAAACCAAAAGCATACATTGTGGAGGTGTGGTAGCCTCATAGTTAGTGCGCTTGACTCTAAATTGGGTGGTCTGGGTTCGAGCCCTGGCCAGGGTCATTGTGTTGTGTTCTTAGGCAAGACACTTTACTCTCACAGTGCTTCTCTTCACCCAGGTGTACAAATGGGTACCAGCAAATGTGCTGGGGGTAACCCTGTGATGGACTAGCACCCCATCCAGGGGGGAGTAGCGATACTCCTAGCCGCTTCATACTAAGAAACTGGAGCTAAGCACCGGCCCCATGGGCCACTTGGGCCTTTACAAAGGCTTACTTAAAAGCATACATTAAAAACTTCTGATGAAAACTTATCCCTGCAACCTCTTCATCTTTTTTTCTTTTAAGAGCAAAAAGTCAAAGCAAAATAATGGAGAAAGCAAGGATGTCTTGGTAAGCATGATGACTACTTCTTTTGTTTGATAGGAGGGGTGCTTATCTGAAAGGGGGTGTGGATTGAAAGAAAAAATTAATGCTATGATTAGTTCAAGGACTTATCCCTTTCCCTCTTGGATCTCATTAATAATTCTCCTTACTGTCTGTCATATAGTTCTTCTGATGTTAGTGAGGAGAATTGGGTATTGGATCAACCAGTAATCCCCTTGATATTGGGTTGATTTTATCTTGGTCACCCATGCCAGTTCAAGGGTTATTGTATTAAAAAATTGGGAAATCCAATTTTTTTGTCCTGCAGAAGTACATGGATACAATTGTTGCCATGCCATACCACTGAGGTCATGTGAGAGATATCCTAACACTACAACTTGCTAGGATATGATTATCAGTGCAATGCTTTTGTAGTACCCTTGCAGTATGAAGTGTTTTCATCTTGTATTTCAATTATAAAGATCTTTTTTTAATCATGAATTACTAAACCCTCTTTGCTGCTTATCACTTTAAGGTGCACACTGAAAACCTTAGCTTCACAGGCTGGGCCAATTAAGATATTGGATGTCAGTGCAATCCTTTTCTCTGTTATAATTAAGTTGATTAAATTGTGTCAATTTCTAGTGATGTTGATTGACAAGCATGATTAACAAAGAATCTGTTTATTGACCAAAAGCAGGCTCCAAGCAATTCTTATTAGAGCAAAGTTGGTGAGATTAGGCCCCATCCTAGCCTTCCAGATCTTTGTTTTACTTGAAATTATCAACATATTTTTGTCCCCTCTACTTATGGGAAGTAATATCTTGCATCTTTGAAATGGCTGATGAAAATGTTCCTGTGCAGGTGACACCTCCATATACTGTGGCTCAACCTCCACATACAGTGCCTCAGCTACCGCAGATTGTTACAAACCCTTCACTGCCAGCATCTCAGCAGGCTAATTTATTACCTCATCTTATGCATATCACTCCTCAGCATGCAAAAACAGTTCCACAGCATTCACAGGCAGATCCACAGCCTTCAAATGTGGTATCTGAGCATCTGCGTACAGCTCTTGGTATCCCACCTTCAGAAACTCCAGGGGCAAGACCTCAGCCACCATATCCAGTACATACACACATAAATGCAGTAACCCAGCCTCAGCTTCTGAGTACAGTACCACAGCCACAGCACACAGTCCCTCAGCATTTGACAACGGGACTACTGTCCCCACCCACAGTACCTCAACCACTAGAATCTGGACTTCAGACCCCAAATACAATACCACAGCATCTACAAACTGGGCTTCAGTCCCCACAAATCTTAACACAGCATTCAAATACCATACCTCAGCCTGTAGTTCATCAAGCTCCTTGTGCTGTTCCACAGCATTCACAAGTGCCACATCCATCTCCAGCTCATGGATCTATTGAAGGAGTAACACCACTTCCAACCTTTTTCCAATTTACTTTGCCTTCCAATCTGTATACTTCACCAGTGATTAACAGTGCTCTGCAAACTCCTCTTCAACAAGGTGTTCCCTCTGCCTTGACAGCCCCTCATTCATCCACCATGAGTATGCTTAGTGCTCTCCAGGATGACAAATTATCCTTGATCCTTCCAGTATTAGTGAGAATGGAGCATAAGATAGATCAGATTATGGCGATGATTGGAGCTAAATCAGCCGCTGGAGGAAATGGGCTGCAAATTGGAAACCAGTTGAATATGGCATTAATGGGAAACCAATCAAGTGTCCCAATGTCTGAAAGCCAGCCAATTGCCACGGTGGCTGACAACCAAACACGTGCAACCTCAGCACAGAAAAGCCACCAGCCAAACCAATCAAGTTTCCCTGGGATGGTAAAGCATTCAAACCCAGCTACAAGAGAAACCCAAAATAGGGCTGCAATGCTAAAGCAACCGAATGCAAAAATAATGAACACCAATCAGTCAAATAATATACCGGCAGCAACACCACTGAACACTCCTCTGCGACCCACCCTAACAAACAATACAGACAATGGATCTGCCTCTCATTCCACAGATATAGAGGCCCCATCTAATGCTACTTCAGCGGAAGCCCATATGATTAATACTACGCCCGACAACGAGGAAAAGGTAGATTTTGAGATGGAATGCCAAGGAAGCGGTCTTAAACCACTACAATCAGGACCTTTCGACGCCTCAAAGTCACTTCGTGGGATCTCAGCTCGTCAACGAATACAGCTTGAAATGGCTAAAATAACCGAACAGACGTTACCGGAAGATCTAGACTTTCCCATATCACGTGACAACCTCATTGCCCTGCAGGTGAAGTCAAATTCCACAATGAATTTCGCTGTCCGATTGTTACGCGAGCTCTTCACGCCAGACGAACTATACGGCAGAAACATTTCTGGGGTCCGAGGAAAAGACCAAGTTGACCCCACTAGGGTAGAAATGATCAAAGACATATTGTTTAAAATTTATCGAACATCACCGGCAGACAAAGAACTACTGTGGAGGTACTGTCGTAAGGCGATGGATTCATTTTTACGGAAGATGCACCGCCCAGATCTCGTAGAAGAACAGAAATAAAACAAATCAACCTCACGCAACGATATGCAGTCATCTTCGTCGGGAAATACTTACTTAGAAATAATACAGTACAACAATTTTTGGATACGTATACGCTTCAGCTTGGCATACGTATTTTGGGTCTCTTTTGTATAGACATAGAGCAATCTTCAGATAAGTGTGAATGGTATTCCGCGGTTTCAGCGATTTCGTTTGTTTTGCTTCTCTTCGCACTCTTATTGGTCTAGAGAACTTGCACCTCCTCTCGACCAATCAGATGAGAAACTAAAAGCAATGGTGTCTTGGTCACCTGTGCTTTCCCGCGCTTCAAACAGTTGGTTTGTCTTACGTTGTTCTCATTGACTCTAAATAGAATTTCTCTTGCTTTGATCTGATTGGCTGGTACGATTCTCAATCGAAAAGCGCTCCAGATATGGGAAAGCAGTAACTAGAATTCCTTTGTGAAACGGAATTAGTTTGGAAACTTTGTTTTTTTGTTTTGCGTATATCAAATGAATAAATCGGTTCTTACCCGAACTGCTGGTTTATAGGCACCCGTCCCAATATCCATTCTTTGTCGCATCACTAACTACATAAGCAAAATGCATTCTCCCCCCAGACTCCTAAAGCCGTGCTAACGCCGCGATATTTGCACAGGGAAATCTGAGTACAAGTCGAAGTCTCGCAGGTAAAGAATTGACTACTTCTTGAAACAAACAGAACTCAGCTACATAATTATTATTAGCGAAGTTATACGATTGATGCCATCCAGAAAAATACCGAAGCTCTAATAGGAGAGTGTCGACATAGAAAGGAGTGAACCAGAGGTAAGCTGCGACCGAATTGTTCATTGGGAGTCGGGAAAGACCTGCTTGTTTGTCACTAGCAGATAAACCTCTGCTATCAAAATATGCACAGAATAATAATAAAAAACATAGTCCAAGACATAATAGAGAGACTATGACACCTTGGAAGCAACGATATACTAAAACGTGGTTTAATCTCAGTGGTAAAGAAGCCCCTTATATCCAAACAACTGGCCAAAGCTAAATTTTAGAAAAACCACAGTCCCCCTTTTTACAGTATGGTTAGCACACGTTAGCATCGATAGCAACTTAACGCTATTGGCTGTTCAAGCCAAGCTGGTACTGGTTTTAAGTAAAAGACACAAGAAGACACCATTTCAACACCAGCGCTTGTGTATTGTTATTCAATAGGCATTGATAATGTAAAAACTGGTTTGTCAAAACATCAAGCGCACTTAATTCAAAGATCACCGGCACACACCATTTTACTCATTTACATCCAGTAAAATTAGTTAAAAACCTTCAATGTTTCTATAATTCAGCGCAGTTGTCACGTTATGTTAAGACCTGTTTGAATACGACATATAATATTACACACGTGTTTAAAGTCGATCTCTCGCTGCAAAAAAAGCTTTTTTTACACCTGAAAGTCTCTTTTGTTCACTAAAGCGTAAAGGGCACACACTGGCCTGCCCACGGAACGTGTCTTCCTTGGCTTTACTCAACAATGAAACCCCTTCCACATCAGTTTTCTGCTTTCCTGTTTTAAGAAAAATAGCCTGCCATTGTAGCATTAACCATTCAAATTTATTTTAAAAAATCAGCTTGACTCCCTTAGGCAAAGACAAAACGCCACCTTTAGGCAGATCACCAAAATCGTAGCCAAAGGGAAACTACACTTGCCAATAGTGAAGTGTCTATCCAAAAGGCACGGTTAACACGCTGTTTAGACTGGATCCGCAAACAAGCAGCGTGAGGATTGGCATCCACTCTCCCTAATCCCTCTGTGTTGTGGGCCCCAGCCCTCTGTGAGTATATAGTATCAGTAAGAATTGTGATCGTCTGCTGTCATCTGTTGGTGTCAGGGTTATGGTAAATAACGTTCAGAACCTGTCCAACACCCTTAGTATGTCCTTCCCTGAAAAAGATCCTTGATCCTTGGCGAACATACTCTGGCTGTTTCATGAACCTGAACCGTATTTTTGCTCTTTGACCGGTCCTCAAGGATTCCTGTCAATGCAACACAAGGAATCTTCGTCAAGATTTTGAAAGTCGCAAGAACATCAGTAAAAAAACTACGTAGGAAAGAATACCACGAGAAATTTAAAAAAATCAATTATAATTGGTTTAGAGTTGCCGTCAGTTACCTAGGAGCTTCTTGTTAGAAAGCAAGTGAAACCGCTTTTACCACAAAAAAAAAAAAAATTTCACACAAGGAATATTACCCTCGAGAGAGGTTTACATTTACTAGTTGAGCATAAAATATCATTGTATTTCAATTCGTACCTTATTCATTTCCTCGATAACAGCCGTTTGAATAACATTTCTAATGTACACAGTAGCTTGAAAGCGTTTGCTTATTGATGTGGTGTGGTAAAGAAGAAATACATCAGCCCAGAATCCAGTGCAGGAATGAGGCTTTTGAACGGGATCTGTTAGAACCATGCCCTAACCAACGTACAAATTAAGATGTTTAGTTGGCAAGGAGCACTAGAAGAAACTACACTCCATGACATTTTAAGAGAGGTGAAAGTTGGAGCAATCTTGACAAAATCATATCAGTTTCTAGTCGTAGCTGCTCGAAATTTGAATGGAGACGCTTTTCAACTCAGCACTATAAAACCAAAACCAAAGAAGAGACGACGGCAAATTACGAAAAAGCTAAGAACTCCAAGAAGCCAATAAAAGCGAGAAAGGAAAAAAAACGCCTCAGTGTTACTCAACCGCGGAAAACGCACCTTTCGAATCTGAGACTGGTGCACGCTTTCGGCCTTAGCACAAGAAGTAGCATGCAAGACCAAAGCGAAATCGAGTTAATTTCCAGACTCAGCTCTGGATAATTTTAACAAAACCAACTTTTTCCTACAGGAGCAAAAATCAAGAGTACATTGTCTAAAACTAATTTTTCGGGTCTTGTCAATATTAGGAGAAAAATTAGAGAAAGATTCATAAAAAGATAGATAACGTTCGAATACGGCTAGGAGTAATGAGATGGCACATTTTGTGTTCTGAACTTACCTTCCTTAGTAAATTCCTGTCGATACCGCTGATCGCTACCGAAGCAGCCTGGCCTGCTCGTACCACCCTACAGGAGGCGCGGTTCCTTTTCACTGATAACACAGTCACTGGCTGAAAGTTACCACTCGTGGACGGACCGAGTAGAAGTTGATCTCCTTCGCGAAGTACTCCTCTAAAGAATCGAATTAAATCCTTAAATCCATGATTAGACTTCATAACAACTGAGAACTTCGACATTGATTGCAACCCCCCTAGACGCAAAAATTAAACTCACACCGCGATGCTTAATCTATGCAAAACAGTTTTAAGAACCGACAATCATGCGTGAGAATATTGAGACAACTGCTTTAATTTCCCAATGGTTAGTTGTGATGTGACGTTACAGATGGTAGAAACCGTAAGTTATCAAGCTTTTACTGAGGCCTAAAACGTTGACTACACCACGCCCACTAGTGATACGCAAGACAAATAAAGGAACTTGACACACGAGGGACCTGATACTAGGTTGACCAATCCCAGCATTCTTTTGGGCGCCAGTGTTATCAATGTCGTTTATTACTGTTTACCTCTCTAAAGTGCCACCCACAACAGGCCCAGTCCCTGGAACATTGAATATTTCATCCACCTGGAAAATGAAAGCAGTTCAAAAATTAATGAGTAGGAAAAAAAAATTCTTAAAATACATAATACAATGTATTTCTCGGATTATTGAGTAACCTTAAGTCCTAAGAATATTTGCGAACTTCTTTAACACAGTAAAGGAAGTGGAAAAGTTAAAGAATACTACCTGTGGGTGGAATTAGCAGTCAAGCTGCCTGGTATTTCAGCAAACCAAAGTTTTTCTTTTTCCCCAATATATGAAGTTTGACCAACATACAGTTACTGTGATATAAGTTCATTAAATTGTAAGAAATTCCACCTCACTTTGAAGAGGTGGTACATGAGCCCCCTAAATCTCGGTTGCCATAGCCACGCCCTGATTCAGAACGTCATAATACCCTGTCCAAGCATCTTAGTTGGTAGAAATGAGCGAAATAGTGAGCACGCGACAAACGGCGGGGGTCAGCGGCTGTTTCCTTCACCAGCACCACTTGTCGCTTGTCTACTCCTTTGCCTGTCTCGACTAACTAGAGGCAAAACGAAACTTCCTCTTACCTGGTATTCTGTCAATTCTTGGGCTAGTCTCTCCTGGTCCATGGGTGATCGTGACGGAGGCACAAGGTTGAGAAATTTCTTGACAAGATTTAGATTTTCTCCAGTCACACAAGACACTGTAAAGATGGGAGTTACCCTAGGGATGAAAGATACTAGTATAAAAGCAATTTTCAACTTTTTTAAAAAAGTATTTGAAATTGAATTAGCTTGGATTATCTTCAATAAAAGATTAGTTTTTTAACATGCACCAGCCTCTCAGATGGAAAACTACAGTCGGATTCCGATAACTCAAACCACAAGCCAAGTAAAACTCGTGATTATTTTGCCGAAGCTTCAGGAAATTTAAATGGCCACTTGTATGACCTTTCGGCAGATCTCCTCTTTTCTCCATCTAATTCTCCAGATCGCCAGCAAAATAAGAGCGGCGGGGACGAAAAAAAAAAATTTTTTAATTACCCAAGGGGATAGGGGTGGGAAGAGAAATTGCATTTACCTTGTGCTCCGTACTCCTTCTGGCGCGCACGCTTTACACTTCCAAATTCATTGTACAGAAAATAGTTAAAACTGACGTTCATTTTTAACAATTGTTCGCCGAAGGCGGAGAGAATATTGTTGAATAATCGTCTCGGGGATTATTCAACAATATTCACTGAATCTGAGGTGAATAGTTGTTTTAGTATGATTAGTCGGGTGCTTTCGTATTCTGTTGTAAATTCTGTTTTATAAAGAAAGCATTGAGTGTATTTTGTTATAATGGTGGTGATAAGTCGTATCAATATATACAGGCTGTTTTAACAGATTAATTTAACTCAATAAGAAAAAACTTCACATCTTACTTTTAAAAAGTGTTCCGCCAACTCAGTAACATCTTTTGTGCTCTTCGCAACTGAATTTTTTCCTATTTTTTTATCCTATATATCACTTCTTAACTTTTAACAAAACGTACAGCACTATCCACTGGATAGAGATTTATCCAATGGATAGCGTTATCCACCCTTCAAATAACCGGGGCCTGAGCAATCATACCAAAGGTAATTATGATTCCAAGATTACTACTTTGTGACAGTATGTCGATAATATTGATAGAAACAGCTGGGATCATCTGAACTAATTAAGAGTTTGTTCCGTTGAAATAAAGAAAAAACCACTAGTTTTTATTATAATCATGTGCAGCGAATTAAGATAAGGAATAAGGAAAGCTGTAATCTTACTGATTCGAGTTGAAGTTAGTTGCAGCTGTAATAACATCGTCTTCAGTTTGGACAACCATTGGCACCTTATTACAGCCAGGAGATTTTAAAAGTCGATCAAGTACTCTGCGCGTCTGTTCCATTGTTTTTGGTAAACAAACATCATTCTTGTTTAGTATTACAAAGGTTGGGACTGCCAATGCCATAACCAAGCCTAAGTGTTCTTTTGTAGTTCCAACTATACATAAAAAGTACAAAAATCAACTTAGTAAGTAAGAAGACAGGAGCGACAGTTTTTATCCTTCCCTCTGAAATCTTTACCAAGTTTGCAATGGAAGAACCTATAAAATTTTGTTTCCTCACGCAGTCCATCCTTCCATCCTCTCCAAAAAACTTGACAGCTGACAGACAACTTACTGGGCCATTTGATATCAGTGCAAATAAGGACAACGATAAACACAGAATCTGCTTGTTTAGGAGAATCAGACCGTCAAAGTGTTCGCTTAACGATGGGGTAAATTTGGTTCAACATAAAATGATTTTGCTACCATTGTTTATCTCACACAACGACATAAAAGTCATCATGATCATTAATCATCATCATAAACTTAATTAATGTGTCTTGAATATCTAGCCGATGGGGTTAACAACCCCTCTACCAGTAGGGGACACTTAACATAGTTAATAACCACTAACTGTTTTCTAATGAACTATTAAAAAAAAGCCTAACAATATAATCCACAATATAATATAGTTAAAAACCTATTAACTATAGACTAATGGGATGAATTATCAAAAAGAGAAAAGATTAAGAATTACAGAGGATACAATTGGAACAATTGTCGTCTTCTACCATTACGCTCAAATCAAATTTACGGATATGATTCTTAAAACTAAATAATGATGGGAGGGTTCTAATTTCGCTTGGTAGCTTATTCCACAACTTTGGTCCCATCAATCGTTTGGAAGTTCAAATTTCTATCTTTTTCAATTTCAGTTTGCCCAACGTCAACTGAGAAAAAAGTTGAGTTCACAGCCCTGCTAGGACACGAGTCCTTTACCTATTCCAGCATTTCCAGCGATGACCAACATGGCAAAATCTGGAGAATGACCAGTTAAACCAAAGATTGTTGTTCGTAAATACTTGTGATGCCCAGCTAAATCGATGAAAGTGATCAACTTGGTTGACTGCTCGCAGATGTCTTCTGCCGTTCGAGATTCGCTGTAGTTTACAACCTAGTAAACATAAAACATTTACAAAACTATAACTTGGTTCAAAGCCCGTGAAATATTGACAAATTAAAACCACCTTTCTAAACCTTCCCAAATATGATTACAACTGTATATGTAAAACATGAGTTACTTTTTTCTCTATTAACCCAAACTGTGAAGGTGGTTTTACATTTGATAGCATTCTTAAAGAGTTTTTTTTACTGAAGTACCTAACAGGAAGGGTGCTTCTCGGAAGGATGGTGCTTATTAAGAAACTACTTAACTGTACTGATTCCATCGTAGTTGAAGCCTTAAAAATTATAAATAGAGTGGCAATAGATATATGTTTTCCATGTATCCCTTCCATTCAATAAAGAGAGGAAGGATGGGGAGCACTAATTCAAGGGAGGGCACTTATTAGAACATAGGTACTAAAGGAAGGAAATACAGTATTCAAAGCTTTCAATTTTCTATGAAAGTGCACCCAGAGGAAAGCTTGTGGCTAACTTTCGATCTTTGCCTACCTCTCCCTTGCTGCTAAATCCAAGTATTTCATGGCTGATACTTGATGTTCGACCTGTTTGTATTTCATGAAGATGTCTGAAAAGATTCAACCTTGCTCGTCCGCGGCCATTATCTAGCTCATCATGCGTCAAGACTCCAAGTAATGTGCTCTTTCCAGCATCAACATTCCCCAACACAG